TCCAACACTTCAGTGTGAGTCTGAGTGTGTATGTGTGAGTATGTGCATGAGTGTTTGAGGGAGTGAGTGTGGAAATGTGCGTGGAAGAGATTTTGTGAGTGATTATGTGTTACTAGATGAGCATATGTGAATTATTAGGTATGCATTTTTATGAGTGAATATATATGTATGTATGAGTGTTTGTTACTTTATATGTATACAGTATGACTGTATATTATAAACGTGTGTGGGTGTTTGTGTGTGTGTGTGTATGTGTGTGTGTGTGTGTGTTTGTGTATAGTGATCATAAAGGTGGCAACTGAAATAGATACTACTGAAACATTTCCCAAACCAAGAAAAACTTTTTGAGGACAGTTGCTTCATGGATTTCAGAGGGTATCTAGACCATCCTCCATTCACCCATATGTTCAATTGTGAGCCCATATCCAATGGCATTGCCAATGCTTTATAACAAAGTCAAAATCAATTCCTGGGATTCTTTTAGAAAGGGAAAATGAAGAGCAATTTCACCTATCATATCATAATTACAAGGTACCTTATCAAAAAGCAAATAAAACATAATAAAATGTAAGCTGTCAAGCACTACTGGAATAACTTAAAGACAATGTAAATATATTTTCTTTTCAATTTATTCATGTGATTGTGGCCATTTAAGATTCCCTATGAATTTAAGTGTTTTTACTTTGTGCTTTTTCCAGTGCAGAGGATCATAGCCAGACTTTGCTCTAGGATTTACTACATCTCTGACCTAAATACAGATTGACAAAAATTTTCTCTTCCAAGAGAAAAAATCTATATAATAGATTTTCAATGAACCTATATAATTAGTAAGATATTGCTCCTGAAATAGGGGGTAATAAAATCCATTATAAAAGTATGGTTTCACATTTCTTTACATTTTCTTTAATTTATTTTGATGACATTTAGTAGCTGCATTATCTATTTCCTTTCTTAATGATACTCTCTAAGTACCTTATTTGCCTTTATTACAACATAGTAGAATCACTTTAATTTTCTATTGTCTTGATCCCCATTATAGTGGAAAGATTCAGTCTTTCCCTATTGAGTATGTTTTATTATGAATTTATCATCTATCACTTTATTGGTTATAAAGGTCCTTTTTCTCACTACTCTTTTTTGAAACACTTTTTATTATATATTTAATTTAGAAACAAGCTTGCTTCCCGTGTCAGTCCCAGCTCCCTCTCCCTCCCCTCCATGCCTTCTCCCCCCACCAGATCACTGGAACCCCATCCAATCCCCACTCTATTCTCCAGGGAGGGTAAGACCCTCCATGGGGGATCTCTAGAGTTTATTGTTTCATTCTGGGGAGGGCCCAGGCCCTCCCCCCAAGTGTCCAGATTGAGAGAGGATCTCTCATTATAGGATGGGCATCGAAAGTCCATTTGTGTGCCAGGGATAAATACTGATCTACTACCCAAAGCCCCATAGATCACCTAGGTCTCCTGACTGACACCCACATTCAGGGGGTCTGGATCAGTCCCCATGCAGTCTGGGGTCCAAGATCTGCCCCTTGTTCAGGTCAGCTGTTTCTGTGGGTTTCACCAGCCTAGTCTTGACCCCTTTGTTCAGTTTTCAGGTGTTTGTAGGGTTTCTGCAATTTGTGTTGTTGAATTGTGAAGCAACCTTGATTCTTATCTAAATTTAAACTGGAAAATAAAATTTAAAAAAATGAATTGTAACTTTAAAGCATGGTGTTTTGATAGCATACAGGGGGTTATTCCAATTATTTTGTACTTGTTGAAGTTTGCTATATTGCCAAGTATATGGTCGATTTTAAAGAAGGTTCCATGTGGCACTGAGAAGAAGGTATGTTCTTTTGTGTTTGGATGGAATGTTCTATAGATGTCTGTTTATTCCAATTTGGTCATAAAGTCTGTTCATTCCTTTGTTTCTTTGTTAAGTTTCTGTCTGGTGGTCCTGTCTAGTGATGAGAATGGAGTATTGAAGTCTCCCATTATAAGTGTGTGAAGTTTAATATTTGATTTGAGTTTTAGTAATGTTTAGTAATGTTTCTTTTATGAATGTGGATATGTTTGTATTTGGGGCATAGATGTTCATAATTGAGACTTCTTGATGGACTTTTCTGGGATGAGTATGAAATGACCTTCATCATCTCTTTGATTTTAGTTTGAAGTCTAATTTGTTAGATATTAGTAATGCTTGTTTCTTGGGCCCATTTGATTATAAAATCTTATCCCAATTCTTTACTCTGAGGTAATATTTGTCTTTGACATTGAGGTATGCTTCTTGTATGCAGCAGAAGGATGGATTCTGTCTTCATATCTATTCTGTTACACTGTGTCATTTCATAAGCAAATTAAGACCATTGATATTGAGGGATATTAATGACCATTGATTGTTGATTCTTGCTTGTTTTGGACTTGTTGGTTGTTGTGTTATTGTCTCAGGATTCCCCCCACACACACACAAACTTTTTTTCTTTTGGTGTTTGATGAAGTGGGATTATCTTTGTGAGTGTAGTTATCTTCATTAGATTGGAGTTTTCCTTCCAGTTCTTTCTGTAGAAAAGGATTAGTGGATATGTATTTTTTAAATCTGGTTTTGTCATGGAATATCTTTTTTCCATTTATAGTGATTGAAAGCTTTGCTGCATATAGTAGTCTGGACTGGCATTCATGTTCCCTTAGCATATATAGAACATCTATCGAGGACCTTCTGGCTTTCAAAAAGTTGGGTGTAATTCTGATAGATATGCCTTTATATGTTACGTGGCTTTTTTCTTTTTCTGTTCTTAATATTTTTTCTTTATTCTGTAAGTGTGGTGTTTTGATTGTTATGTGATGACAGAACTTCTTTTTGTGGTCCAGTCTGTTTGGTGTTCTGTAAGCTTCTTTTACTTTCATGGGCAAATCCTTCTTTGGGTTGGGGAAGTTTTTTATATGATTTTGTTGAATATGTTTTCTGTATCCTTGAGCTGTATTTCTTCACCTTCTTCTGTAACTATTATTAAGCTTGGCCCTATCACGGTGTCCCATATTTCATGGATATTTTGTTTAGGGATTTGTTGGATTTGAGTTTTTCTCTGGTTGATGACTGTATTTCCTCTAGTGGGTCTTCAACACCTGAAATTCTCTCTTCCATCTTTTATATTCTATTGGCTATACTTACATCTATAGTTCCTGACCCTTTACTCAGGTTTTCTATTTCCAGAATCCCGTCATTCTGTGTTTTCTTTATTGTTCCTATTTCAGCTGTCATGCCGTGAAATGCTTGAATTGTTTCCTTCACTTGTTTGGTTGAGTTTTTTTTCTTGGCTTTCTTTGGATTCTTTAAGAGATTTGTTTATTTCTTGAATTTTTTGGTTTGTCTTTTCTTCTATTTCAGGTATTTTTGTTTGTTTTTTCTTCTATTTCTTGAAGGAATTTTCGCATTTCCTCTTTAAGGGTCTCTCTCTATCATCTTCATAAAATAGTATTTAAGGTCTTTTCCTTCTGTTTATCTGTGTTGGGCTTTTCATGTCTTACTGGTATGGAATCCCTAGATTCTGATGATGTCATATTGGTCTTTTGTTGTTCAGTGTGTTCTTATATACTGTCTTCCCATCCCTTCTTCTAGTGGGTGAAGGTGGGGTCTCTCCCTCTTCTCTAGTCTCCTTATAGCATAAGTGGGCCAAGACCTCAGTGTCTGCTACTCTGGATGATCTGGCCTCTCCTGGTGTTCTCCTTACTCAAGTGGAGGGCATAGGGTGCCAAGACTCAAGTGGAGGGCAGAGGTTGGAAGGCAGAAGGCCTATAGGGGGCCAAGAGTGAGGTGTGGCCAGACTCAGTGTGGTTCCTCCAGCTGGAGCAGGTCCACTCTATGTGTGGAGCGGACCCAGGAAGATCCAAGGAGGAGGTGGTGGATGGTGGGAGTTGGGTCCTGATCGGAGCCCACACTCACCTCAAGCAGAGGGAGTAGGGCAGAGGGTGGGCCAAGACTGAGGTGTGGCCAGACTCATGGTGGTCCGTCCTGTTAGGGCAGGTCCCCTCTATGCATGGAGCAGGCCCAGGAAGATTCAAAGAGGGGCGGATGACAGGAGTTGTGCCCCGATCAGAGCTCACACTCACCTCAAGCCGCAAATAGGCTTCTAATTGACATTTCATGTTCTTTGGATAATTAAAACAAGTTGAAAAAGAAAAAGAAGTATCAATTGCTTAATTTATCATATAAATAATCTATATTTAGACTGATCTAAGTTTATAGCATAAAAACCTGGTGCTTAAATTTCTCCATATACCTGATGGAGAATAATGGATTTAGTTAGTCTTTGTACTGTTTGGTGCATGTGTTTGTTATCTATAAACAACTGCTTTCATTTGCTTTTTCAAGTTTATTTCCATCAATTACTTCAAAGGAGTTGTTTCTGGAAATTTTAGATTCTTATACAATATATTTCATTAAATTTTTAAAATAAAAATTACTCTGTGTTTAGATGCTGACTGAAAATGTATATATTATACTATGCCTCCTATGTTCTCTTGAGTAATAAAGAAAATTTGATGCCCTATGATTTGGTATTAAGATGTTAAATAGTAAGCCTACTTTCTTTAGATTCATGGCAGATGCTGTTTTAAATCACAGGGAAGTCATATTCATTACTAATAAATAAAAAATTATTACTAATTTCTCAAATTCTTTACATAATCTGTAATTAAAATGGGTTCAAATGTTACAATTTTTAGGATGTTGAGATATCTTTTAGTATAGTGCAACCCATTCTCAGACATGTTTTTGAGACAGGGACAGGTTATACCTATGTAGTACTGGCTGCCAGGGAACTCATTGCATAAAGCAGGCTAGCCTTTACTTCATAGAGATTAACCTGCATCTGCCTCATAAATGCTAAAAATAAAGGTCTGTGCTACCATACCTGCATCATATAAAATAACTCTTAAAAGTAGAGCTTAGGGATATTCAGGGACAGTTTTCTAATCCTCTTTATTCTCACTGATTTATTGATTAATTTATCATTGCAGATCAAAAAAATCAACAGAAACTTCCCTGTAAACCAGCAGGTAAGACCAAGTAACACTTTAAACACTGAATCATACCTTTTCAATGTGTCTTTTATAGAAGCTAATCTTGGTGCCACCTGATTCTTCTACAGAAATAATTAGTATTATAAGCTATCTTCAGGGGAAATTAATTCAATGATTATTTTAATATTATCTCCTTCACTGAATACATGCGGAATAGGTTTTAAAGATGTGTAATCTAAGACAAAAACCACTTTTAACAAAAATAGGCATGTTGATTTATGTACAATTCTGAAGATCTAGACGTAGCATTTTTATAAGATAGCTTTAGTATATCTTAAATTACAAATTATTTTATGTATTTTCTCTTTATTCTTGTGCATGGAATACATTCAGAGAACACAAGTTGGTGTCAAGGCCCTAGAACTGGATTTTCAGATTGTTATAATTGTCATATGGGTGCTGAAAACTGAACCCTCATCCTCTAGAAGAACAACTGTTCTTAACTACCGAACCCTCTCTCCAGTATCTAGTGTATCTTAATATTTAAATGACCCCTTTAAATTGATCTTAGTGTCTAGTGGGTTAATATACTTCCATAAGAGTTTAACTGAATTCATAGGATAAAAATAATGTCCTATTGATCCAAGAGCTTAATTCTCTCATTGCTCTTCATATGCACTTTTATTTATAGTCATCCCTCACACTCTAAATATGCATTACTCTTAATATGTTAAAATATTTTAACAATATTTTGCTTGCAAAACTTGTAAAGAATAAATTTCTGTTATGCAACATTTGTTTAAAAGATACTTATTTTTAAGTTCATTTTGAATATTCTTTAACTTCAATAAATACCCTTATTATCACTAGAATAGTTAAATTCTTAAACATAATTTGTTCTATGGCAGCAGCATTTGTTTAGTATAGACTATGCTATTAGTGATGGTTCTGACCGAGACTAACTCATAAACCTGTTCATAAAGGAAATAGCATGAAATAGTTCATCTCTGGAGCTTTCTGTGAGTCCACAAACATCTGACCAACAACTTTCATTCTTGCCTACTTACACAGACCCTCATCCATGAGCCTATTTGCTAATCAATAAATTCATATAATGAAAATTGCAAAAGTTAGTAATTCTGTAATGCACATTTGAGGCACTTGATTTCAGTGATGATACAAAAGCATGGAGTCTCCGGTTACTAACAGTAACAATATCTAGGATGTTCCCTGTATGACCCTGTTCTTCTCTCATGGGCACAAGAGACAACTTCAGAAGGAATATCAATGATTCCATAGACCTGTGTTAGGGGAAAGGACATTAATGAGAAACTGTTCGAATATAAAGAAATAGCCTTGGAAGAATGCCAGAGTGGCCATTATTAGGTAGATCTCTTTAGTTGTAAGATAGAAAAAAAGTGGAAATTTGTAGGTTTTGTGTATCTTATAAAAATGAAAAAGATAAATATTTCTTTGATCTCTGAGTGGATTTAGAACATTTCCAGCCTTCCTCTTTCTAACCTCAGTATGTGAGTCTGAGTCAAAAAGCTAATGTACTACACTTCATCATTTAAATAATCCTACAATCTTTCTTTTCTTACAGTGATAACTACATTTTAACATGCCTTCTAACAGTAAAATAAATTTACCAATTTATTTTAATGAAACACTTCATAATGGTGAATGGTAAAATGCAGAATGGAAAGAAATGTTTGCTTCTGTGTAATAATGAATATGCTTTATTTGATCTATCTTATTTGAAATCCATAGTTACATAACAACATTCTTGGCCAATGATGATTGAATGAGCTTAAGTTTTGATTTTCTTTAACATAAGTTTTTATAGTGACTAGATTAAGTTGGCTCATATTTATGGAGATAAATCACCTAAGGTTTTTTTTACTTGTAACACCAAACTTTAACACAGTGTAGTTAGTTTCCCCATGGTAGATCTTCTCATTATCTCTATGTCTACCCAGGTTTGAGTATTTCAAAGCAAATTAAATAAGAATCACATATAGGGAACTTGAAAGATAAATCAGACTATAAAGTAGTTACCACAAACAAGAGGGCCTGAATTCACTACCAAGAACCACCATTAAAAAGTACAATTCCCATGTTACCATTTCAATTGGTATCATGATTCAAGTCAGCCATATTGGTGGGGCTTCTACTTATAGCATTCCTATAAGGCTCAATTTCACAGCAAATTGTATCATCCTCTGTCTCTTACAGTCTTTCTGGTCAATCCTTCCTCAATGGTATCTGAACCTGACATGCAGAAAATGTGTTGTACATGTCTTTGTTGTGACTGGATCCAACAGTATCTCTTGTTCTCTGCATTTTGATAGGTTGTGGTTTTTTTCTGTAATGATTTCTGCCTGTTTCAAAGAGATGTCTCCCAGATCAGTGATGAAAACTGTGGGCATAAGAATAATATTTAGAATGTAGCTTGTGATTATTCTGGTTTATATCAGAAGGTGAGAGTTGTATATTTTCCCATGAGATCTATGACTTTACTAGCCAGGATAACACCAATGACCATGTTAGCACTCAAAGGAGAAAGAACTAAGGATAACTGGGTAATCCTAAGAAAGGAAGAACTTTTTTCACAGAAAGAGCCACCTCAAGTGGTTATCCAATACAAACTTGTCAGTCTAAGATCACATACATAATACAGACAGGTAAGACTATAGGAAAAGATGCATATATATATATATATATATGCACGTACATATGTTTCCATATATGTGTATGCATGTATATTCATCCATCTATGCATGCATGTATATATATATGCACATATATGACAATAATAAAAAGGATATAAATTTGAGAAAGAACAAGTGTACCCACAGGAATCACTGGAGAGAAAAGTAAAGGGAAAAAGACATGATTATATTACACTTTCAAAATTAAAAAAAATATATTATATAAAATACATAAAGTACCTGGACATCATGAAATAGGCTTTTAATTCCAATGATGGGGATATATATGTTGGTAGTTCCCTGGGACTCACTGTCTTTAAAGCATGTTTAATGATATGACCCTCAAACCAATGGATAACTTGTCTCAAAAATCAACACAGGTGACTTCACAGGAACACCTAAGACTGAATGATGGCATTTATATGCAGGTGCACATACACACATATATGAAGTCACTTGTAGAATAATCAACAGTATTGATACTACATACATACTGTTTTAACATGTATCATCAATTTTAGACACTTATGTGAACTAGTGTAGATAATGATTCTTTTTCCAGTAAAAAGTCATGTGGGTAGAGTGTAGACAGAAATTTACTTAGCTCATTCTTTTAAGGCTGGCCATCCCATTGATTCAGTCTCTGTTGAGATTATACTTGTTTAGATGATATGGAGAAAGATGATGTCATGTCAGCAACAGGTTTATGAGTGAGAAATATGTCAACCTTACTTTTCTTCAACATTACTGTCAAAAGAACTAATTATTGCTCAAGAAGAACTTCATCAATTGCCTTTGAGGACATGGTCTCCAATGACTTAATTACTTCTCTTTTATGCCACATCTAAAAGAATTTTCTGACCTCTCAACAAGCTCTTTTTGGATAAAACCTAGGGGACATAAATGTACCAATTTAATTCATGGTAGAATTCATATGTTTTTCCCAGTATTTTAATATTACATATAATACTGATACTTTATGTCAAACCTCAGCAACCCAAAAATATAAAATATCCTAGTTTCCCAAGATTGTGACAAAAACAAATAAGAGTTAACAGATTTTCTTCTTATTACACTTCACCATATGAAGGAACAGTTTCAGAAGAAAAGACTGGTTTGATCTTCCATGTTTATCTTTATGCAGATAGGAATCCTATTTGTAAAGTGTGACAAGGTAAACTTGGCACTCATTTCAAAGGGAATACAGTTTCATTCTCAAGTAAATGTTAGTAGCCATGACAGAAACACAGATGGGGTATCTGAATGATTTGTACAGTCATAAATCAATTCACTTGCCAAATTCATTACTGAAAATTTAGAACACAGGCTATAGGAAAACAGGAAGTCTGATCATATTCTTAGCTTCTGGCTTGTTGGAAGCTCCTAGTTTGATAAGATAATTCATTTCACATAACATAAACTATGTTAGATACAGATATGAGCTATAAATGTCTAGGAAGAGAATTAAAGATATATGGAGGTAATTTGGCTATGAATGAACAATATTCCACCTGTCTACTGTCATGACTGTCTAATCTGTCAGCCTTCATAAACTTTTGTACAAAATTGGAGTTTTCAAGGAATTGCAGATGCCCAAAACAAAGCCTAAAGGAAGATAGGTAATTCCTGCATAATAAAATGGGAGAACTTAAGGAACTGAGATACGTGCATGACATTCCACACCTTTAATGTTCACACAGAATTTTTTCCTTAGCCTTGAACACGCTGAATTGTTTTCATCTCAGTGTTTCCATAACTTGATATTCCTGGTGAATTTTCAAGCATAGATTCAATGTAAATCTTTGTTGCATGCATAAATGTATGTGTGTTCATAAAATGTCTTTTGGGGAGAAATGTGATTGAAATTCCACCTTCTATTTCTGAACTCCCACCTACTAGTAAATAAAATGAAAAAAAATGTAATTAACTTAAGATACCCATGATTGGAAAATCTCTGTGTCCTGTGAAATTTGGTTATAAATACATCCTTCAATTGTATTTTCCACCCATCAGAGGAGCGCAAAAAATGGAAAGGCCATAGAAAAAGAGAAAGCAGCTGTTTCCTAGCAGAGACTGCTGTTGGTCTCTCCCATTTCCAAAGGACTTTCAGGATTCCTCTCTAACCCAGACCCTGAAAAAAAAACTTACAAGTCATATAGGAAATAACAAAAGATGAATCCATAATCTTTTATTTAATAGGAACAAGACTAGGCATCAAAATGTGGATTTCCAAATGATACAAATAGAAGATAAGTAACAATTATGTTAATAATAATAATAATCTAATGACCATCAATCAGTTGTATCTACTCAGTTGTTAATGCC